CCGGCGTGAACTTGAAGTAGCCGTAGCTCGGCGCAATCCCACCTGCCGTCACCTGGGTCGCCGTCATCGGCGACAGCCCACTACGTCAGCCTCCGACGTCACCCTGCGAAGAGCCGGCACCCGCCGACGTCTACATCCCTCGCGCCTGAACGCCGCCGACTTCACCGGCATGTATCACACCTCTTTGCCTCGACGTGCCTCCAGCACTGCTGCCGACTTGACCACCACCGGCGTTGCCGCCCACGTCGACGCCGCCATCGTTGTTCACCAGACGAGGAGAGGCTGGTCGAGACGGGTGCTCCGTCGCCCACGTGGAACGGAGTCCAGCCTCAACGACCGCCCAGGGCAAGTCGCCATACTCGTTGGCCTCGTGCTTCCTCCTCGCGTTCTCCAACCGTGCCTCCAGGGTGTCTACCACCCCCGCGTCACCTACGACTCCTACCATAGTGACTACCGCACAGTTGCCGGCCTGTAACTACGAAATAGGTAAGTGGTGTCTACGTCGACCTGACTGAAGGGTAAGTCGTGTGCCGTCCACGCTCACCGCACCATGCGGAGATAACTACTACAACGGGAGCTTAGAGTACTGGCTAGGCACGTGTGCTCGTGTGATGTCTGCGTTCGTTGGTCCTTAGACGTTTTCCTAGTGCTCACACTGCTTGCTAGTTCACGGGGCAATTTTGGCAAGAGTTTCACTAGAGAAAGTTGTCAATGATGGAACAATGAAGTTGGCAATGCAAGACTACATCAGAGCTAGCATTCAGGTTGGTCGACTGCCAGCACAGCATGGTCGACCGCGTTCCAGCACGACTTGGTCGACCACGCTACAGCAGTGCAAAGTCGACAGCTTGCCAACGCTGCAGGTTGACGGTGTGCCAGCATTGCTCACGCAGGACAGCAGTGCACCCGCTTTGCAGGTGCGCGCAGATGATTGGCATGCAAAGTCTCGTCACCTGCACAGCGCACACACCACGTCAACCTCGGGCTAGCGACTGCCTTTGATCCGCCACGACGACCTCGGGATACCACCATGGAGGTCGGTCTCGCCAACTTCGCCTGGGTGACCGTCGCACTCCTTCGCAGAACCTCGTCACCCAGGTATCCTGGTCGACCGGGCAACTATGTCGACCAGCTGCTCCTGTATGTGCTTGTCGACCTCCCAAGTCGACAACCACACCAGGTCGACCTCACCAGGTCGACCACTCCTCCGGTCGACCAGATCCAGGTCGACGTCACTCCTGGTCGACCAGTGCAGTTGTCAGCTACCCAAGTTGGCGTCACCAGGTCGACGCCCCTTCTACGTCGGCGCCGACTTCCAGACTGACCTCTTGAAGTTGGCGACCTCCCAAGTCGGCGCCGACTTGCAAAGTCGGTGACCTTGCAAGTCGGTGACCTTGCAAGTCGGTGACCTTGCAAGTCGGTGACCTTGCAAGTCGGTGACCTTGCAAGTCGGCGCCGACTTCCAGGTCGACGTGCCACATCGCCGACCACCAGTTGAAGTCGGCCGCTGGCTTCCCAAGTCGGCGGTATTGCAGTGGCGCCGTGCAAGTCGACCAACCCCGTCGACCAGCTCGTCCAAGTCGGCGTCGCCCACTGCTGCAAGTCGGCTGTACCTTCTGTACACCCCACCACGAAGTCGGCTCCGCCCAAGCGTGGACGGGGCCAACACACAACTCCCGTTGACAGCAGGTACCCTAACCCGAAGCACACAAGCCTGGTCATCGTGAAGGACCCTGGGTTGCTTTTAAAGTCTGATGAAGCAAGAGGCTGAGGGTCCACAGGCTGTGCTCTACGATTCAACTAGGGTCCACGTCGCCATGGCATGCGACGTCTTCCGACACATCAACTGGTGAGTCCTTCGCGCACCTCCAATGATGCGTTATGCATGCTTAGCTTGTTAAGACGCTGTGTGAATGTTTGATCTAGCACAAGTCTGCAGGCTATTGGGTGCGGCGCTGGCACAAGCGAGGCCCGTCCTCAAGGCTGCCGATGTAACCAATCGTCTCCGTCGCATCCGCAGCCGGGCATTGCTTGTAAGTGTACCTGCGTAAGGCACACTATTTGCACATTTCCAAGAGGTGTAGGTCGGGTTGAGCGCCCATCCATATATTGTTGACATTCGTCTTGTTTACATGTGCAGGCTAGTCAGGTACCTCAACAAGACTGCACTGTTGACTCAGGCGTATTCGTGTGCCTGTTCTTGTGGGAACTTGTCGCACGGTCTTTTAGGAACCTAGAGCGGGGCATTCCTTCTCCCTTGTACAGCATTGTGACGTATCGGCGCGCCATTAGATCCTTGATGTGTGATGCTGGGGAGCGTACGCTAGCGGACAAGTTGCACAACAGAACGGTGACGTTTCCGCCAGATCACCGTCCGGCTTTGGTCAACGATGTGATCCACGCTGTGCACCCAGTCCTGGACAACATGTCGGCGATGAGAAAGGCGGTCGCTAAATTACGCAGTCAAGGGACCCGCCTTGCATCCGTTGAAGGTGGCATGGAAGCTTTGAAGCTTCTGATTACGAAGACTCATGACATATGCGACAACATGGCCACAGCGGTGTCCGCGCTGTAGTTGTCGGGGGATTCTGCATTCTTGCATGATGAGCTCATTGTTGTGGGTGACCGTGGTGAAGGGGATGGTGGTGGCTCTCCGCCCCGTCGACAGTCCGCGAAGCAGTCTTCACGGCAGAAGGCCAAGGAGATTAAGGGGAGATTCGTGGGTATTACTCAACGGCCCTGGAATGGCCGATGGGTTGCTAGACTAGTCCGCGAACGTCGGAAAGACGGCCACATCGTCATTGGCAGCCACTTTGGAAATGAGGAAGAAGCCGCGAGATCACTTGCTGCGGGATCACATGTGCTATTTGGGCCGCACAATGGACCCTGTGGGAGAGTGATAGGCCTGTCTGACGAAGAAAAGGACAGGTTGAAGGACTGTCCTAAGGACACCTGCCTGGCTATGATCCGGAACAAGTTCTGGCACAGGTGGGAGAACTGGAGGGAGGCTTGGCCTGAATGCCTAAGGAAGATGGAGGGAGGGAGGGGGGCTGATACGGCGTCGACAGATCCGGATCCCTCGTCTCAGTCGCGGTGTCAGCGTAAGTCAAAGCGAAGGAGACAGACCCAAAAGTAGAAAACGGGTCCTCATCGGTCTTTGGTGTGCTTGCGCTCAGCATATGGCTGTTTGGGATCTCTGGGTGTGTTATTGCTAACACCTGTTATAAAACATTACGCAGTAACGTGTTAGGAGCTTTAACGGGCTATGGGACAAGGGGCTTATAACCCATTGTTTTCTTTCGTAATATATTACTGCCGATTAGTCGCTAAACACGTGTTTGTGCTTCACTGGCCAGTTACTAGCGATTCACTTCATTGTCCCAATAGCGGCCCTAAAAAAAATGCTAGGGCAGGTCATGAGGCTATTGGAGTGGAGCATAGCTGTAGAACGCGGCGAAACATAGAAACCGCTAAACATTGCACACCCTCGTACTCGATCGCAAGTACTGACCACAAGCGAATCAACTACAGTGTAAAATCCACATTTTAGCATTCTCAACTTTAACCCTAAGCCCCACCCACCAAAGGGCAATCCTTCCGACACATCCTCAAAGAGCTAATCTTCACCGTCCGAATCTACAGGGGTGGTTGACCCCCGGCTGTGCTGGTCCGATGCTTTGACTGGGGGTTCACGGCTTCTTGACGGGTTCATACAGGCTCTCCAAACCGGCCCTACGCGATGTTCTCGGGCCCTGCTCGCGGGCATTCCACTAGTTTTTCACGAGCAGTGTACTGTTACGGCAACATCCGAAAACTGCGCCAACTCACCTGGCTGGGTAACTTGTGGAAACACTATCAAACCCTTTCAATCATCCGACTAATTGTTGACTAGTCAGACGCGAGGGCCTTGTGAAGTTCTGCACAGTGCTGGGCGAAGTTGTCGCTCACAGCTAACGGCGGATTGATTGCTCCCTGTGCATGATTGGACGTGGTGTCCATTCAATGACCAGACAAACGCGCATCCTTCAGTTCGTACACAAGATGCCCGTTTGACTAGCCCAAGGTTGCCTTGTGAAGAGGGCTGAATACTTTTGCTTGCATTTCGCTAAGTTTTCGTCAATTCGCACCTAGCAAAAAGGGCTTTTAAAAGATTTTGTAAATCTCTGTTGATCGTTTGACGTTGGTCTCTTCTATCAAACTTCGGTTTTTGTGGTTCGTATTGCTCGAGGGGCTTGTAAATGGGGTGCAACTGGCTGGCACCCTAATACACGGGTGCAGAGTTTCCATCGCGGGCAGGGCAAATTCGCGCGCAGAGGTTGGGCATCTTGTGTACACGTTACGGACATTGCACTGGTGTACTACTGGCTCACTAGATTCGGAGGATATATAATGACGGCTATTGAAACCCTGAACAGTTTTGGTACAGGCAAAGCTTCACGGGGTTTTCACTATTGGATCATTGGCGCATGATGGTCTACCTGCACACTGGTGGTTAATGTCGCTACTGCTACTGGCACTCGGAGCCAGCCATTCGCGCAGCACTCATTTACTACACTCCACGGACGGTACACTAGCGTGTCACTTGCCCACGGTTAATGACTAAGTGGCAATGTTTTCCCAAAGCAAGCAGGGCTATGTTGACCTTGCCGTGAATGTCTTCTCTGGTGGTCATGACGATATAGTGACGGCCAACGAAACCCACATTATTTTTGTATGCTAATTGTGATCAATTCGTATCCAATTGTGGTACAGGCCAACCTTCACGGGAATATCACTATAGGTTGACTTGCGCCTGATGCTTTACATGCGCATAAGTGGTTTCATTCTTCTCATTAATCAAGATCATACAAAGGGTGATACTATGGACTACACTATACTGAATACTCTATCCCATTGTAGCCTAAACCCTAAAGAAACTACTCTAACCCGTAAGGCCGCCCACTATAATGAATACTTTCGCTCATGTAGAAGCTACACAATACCGTAAATCCCCACATATCTCAAATAGTGCCCGCAAAAGGTGCCGACTCGCGATAGGACTTTCGGGCCTTGGGGCGCTTACGGTACCTCCTCTTCTCCGGGTATGCGCTGCCACCATACTTGCCCATGTAGCGGTTCTTAGTGTGACCGTGCAAATGACAAACGCTACACGTGTACGGATGCACACCCTTCTCAACGCGTGCATAGCTTGGTGGGCGGGCGGCAGCCGTGCGTCGAAAGGGTGGAGCATCGCACTCGCCTGGTGCGGCCAGCTTCCTCCCAAGGACGATGCGGTCCACACAGGAACCCTTCACCGTTGAAGAATACGTCTCCGCCCAGTTCTTCGTGGTGTAGAAGTCGGAGACGAGGGTGCAAGGGTCTAGCTCTCGCCTTAGAGCAAAGGCCACGGCATGGGAGCACGGGAACTGGTACTGGTCCCAGTTTGAGCAGTCGCATGTCCTCAGTTCGATGTTGATGTTGACGTTGAAGGACCTCCATTCCTTGGGATCGTTGGTGTCCCTGGTTTGGATGGTTCCTTCCTCAAGATCCCCGCCCAATAGCTCGTACCCCTCCGCTCGGGTCTCCTTCAACACCATCCGCTCCTCTGCCGCTTCCGTCAGTAGAGCAGTTCTCTCCCGCGTAGCCATTTTGCGTTCACAATACCTATCCCGATACCAGTTCATGAGACCCCCTAGCAGAGGGGTGACCGGCAAGCGACGAATGGGCACGATTGAGCTGTTGACCTGCTCTGCTGCATTGCTCGTGAAGATCCCAAAGCAACGGGTTGAGGCCTTAATGCGATTCCAGTGGACGAGGTTGATGCCCAGCTTCTTCCTCGTTCCACGCTTGTTCTGCCTAAACCCTGTCCTCACGCGTGTAGTATGGTCCCCTTCCGCGACACCGGCCTCGGGCGTGTTATCGTCGGCGTCCTCGTCTGCCCCCGCCTGGTTCCCCTCTGCTGGGGCTGGGTCATTCGCATCATCTGCCTCTGCCTCCTCTGCATCCGCCTCCTCCTCATCGTCCTCCTCAGCGTCGGCTTCAACCCTAACACGGGGGTTGCCACTACCGACATCTGGCCACGGGTGATCCAGAGTGACAACAACCAATGCCTGGCAGATATTTCCCCCAGCCTGCTCATCTCCACCCTGGCCTGAGTTTCCGCTTGATCCTGTTGCACGTGGCGCATCCGTCAGGATGTTGCTGGGGATGTAACCTGTCCTAACGCGTCGCAGGATGCGGGCATAGTCGAATGGACGTGAAGCTGCATGAGTCGAGCATGAGGGACAACTGGGCGGCTCGGTTGTGGTAGGGGGCTCAGCCGGCGGAGCCGTCGGGGTAGAAGTGCTTGCAGTAGGTGCAGGCCTTGGTTCGGTCGCTGTGGCTCCCGGCTTGCTCGTGTCACCCGCTCCACGCCCATGCGCACGTGATATGGTGGCGCGACCCATGGTGGCACGTGCTGCTTCACGACCCTGGCGACAGTTCTCTACCGCTTGTTGATGTGCTCCAGCTGTTGTAGTCGGAGCGGGACGTTGTTGCTCAGCAGCATCTGCCGGTGGTGGACCCAAGATCGGCTTCTCGACGCCAAGAAGATAGTTTGCCATGCGTCCCATTTGTCGACGTCTCTGGACTTCACAAGACGCCAATAGAAAAGAGCAGCAGCCTCTCCAAATTTCACAACATTCTGATGGAGATGCCAAGCACAAAAGTAGTGAGGTATGCCAACCGGGGGTACATCTCGTGCAGCAGGAATCAGGCCCTTGTCGCGATCGCTGATGATGGATGCATCTTGACGGTGCGGCCACTCCGGGAAGCTCTCCAAAAAGTGTTGCAGGAACCAGGTCCACGAATCTTTGTTCTCTCCTTTGACCAGAGCCCACGCCAGGATCAGAATCTTCTGATTACCATCGAGGACCACGGCAATGAGCAGGGTTGCGCGTTGAGCACTAATTAGGAAGGTCCCGTCTAGTGCAACAACGGGACGGCAAAAACCAAGTGCACCGCGGGATGCAGACGGCTGAATGTACATCCGGTGGAAGCATCCGTTGACCGTCTGAATCTTGAACTTTCAAGCAGGATCGTTCTCCTGGAACCTTGCAGCCAACGCCGGGAGCAACCTTAACGACTCCTGCTAGTCCCCGTACATTTCCTTCTGGATTGCCTCACGCAGCCGCCACGCCTGCTTGAAACTGATCCTAAACTTGCTGTGGGACGAGAGAAGCTGCTGCAAGACCTTCGCCGAAATAAACGGTGCGCCACGAACAAGGTTGCCCCATTGCCTCTTCATGACCTTGACGCTGTTGGCGATGGCGTTTGCTCCTTGCTCTCGCTTGAATTTGCTGCAGATGTGAGTTTCAGGTGGGGAAAGTGACGTCACCATCCAGAATCCGCCATGTACAATCTTACTGTAACTGCATTCCCAAGGGCATACGGACGATTCTCCATGCATGGCGGTTTTGCATTGGAGTATCACGTGGGCGTCTGCCACCTCGACAGTCGCGAATCCAAAACGGTGGTGCAACGCGAAGGCCTGCACCGCCTTTAGTGCCGCATTCCTCGAGGAGTATATTCCACCTTATCTCAATGGGGCATTATCTCTAGGAGCTTTTGGTTGTGCTGGCGGAATGGGGGGAACGTTTCGCATTGCCTCTAAAATACTATTCGCTATACGCTCGGCGCGTTCAGGTGGTTCCGACATGGTTGCTGCTGGGTGTTGAAAGTATATCGTCACATCTATGTGAAGGAATGAGAATGAAGAAGAGAGAGTTGCACTAGCAGCAGTTGGCATACATATAGGAAACCCTAATTGGGTTGTACTCGCTATAGAGTACCCCACTGCAAGCTAGACAATTATAACATTCTGACACACCCCCATAGCCAAAGTGGGGTGTAATCAGCACAATGAGCAAGTAGGCATAGAGTACGAGTTCACAATAGCGAGCAAAGCTAGAGTTAATCATAGCGGGCAACTGAGGAGGAGGAGGAACTGTGGAGGGAGAGAAGATGGGAGGCAACGACTGAAGCTGCAGAGGCACGGGCACAGAAGCGGCTGACTCAGTGGCTACCGAAGCAAGGGCGACGGACTACTGGAGTAACTGGCTCCGCAGCTATAGACGAGCGGCAGGAGCAACGGACCCACTGGCGACTGGTGCAACAGGCTCACTGGCTACCGAAGCAAGGGCGACGGACTACAAACGCTGCAGGCGACACGACAGCTACCTTCACACAACCTCCTCCAGCTGCCCCACACCCCTCGACACACACCCCCTGCTCAAACCCTAGTTCCACTCCCACAGCACCCCCCTTTCACACACCCCTTGCTGCACCCTAGGTTAACTCACACCCCACCCCCTAGCACCACTCCGTCGACTCCCACACACCCACCCCCCTCAGCGGCAGCTGCAGCAGTGGAAGATAGAGGAGGAGGAGGAGCAGGGGAGACCACACACCCGCCACCCCCTACTCGCCACCCCCAGACCCTAACACAGGGCAGGGCGGGACGGCGGGTAGGGAGGTTACGGGGGGGGGGGGAGGGGGGGCCGACGCGCGGCCTCCCAGGGCGCCGAAACAGGCGGCAGAAGGGGCGACGCTCGCCCCCCCCCCCCCCCCCCCCCAGGTCGCGGCCCCCTCAGGTCGCCTCGACAGGCGACGGGAAAAGAGGGGGGGGGGGGGGGGGCAGTGCACGAGCCCCTAGTGCGCCGCGACAGGCGACGGAGCATGGCCCGGGCGGGGCCGGGGCAGGGTCGAGGCAGGGCCAAAAGGGGCGGCTACGAGGCCGCAAGTGGCGGCGACGGGGCCGCTGGAGGCGGCGACGGGGCCGATAGGGGCGGCGACGGGGCCGCTGGTGGCGGCGACGGGGCCGATATGGGCGGCGACGGGGCCGCGAAGGGGCCGCGAGGGGCCTGGGAGGGCGGCGACTGGCCGCTAGGGGCGGCGACGGGGCCGCAAAGGGGCCGCGAGGGGCCTGAAAGGTCGGCGAAGGGGCCGCTAGGGGTGGCGACGGGGCCGCAAAGGGGCCGCGAGGGGCCTGGAAGGGCGGCAACGGGGCCGCTAGGGGCGGCGACGGGGCCGCGAAGGGGCCGCGAGGGGCCTGGAAGGGCGGCAACGGGGCCGCAAGGGGCGGCGACGGGGCCGCGAAGGGGCCTCGAGGGGCTGAGAAGGGCGGCGACGGGGCCGCTAGGGGTGGCGACGGGGCCGCTAAGGGTCGCGCGAGGGGCCGTGAGAGGGGCCTCTAGGAGGGGAAAAAAAAAAGTCCGTCGCACGCCACGGGGCGTGCAACACACAGAGTAGCAGCGGAAGCAGTTAGGTGGGCCCACAGGCCAGGAGCGTAGATGCTCTGATAGCATGTGAAGGAATGAGAATGAAGAAGAGAGAGTTGCACTAGCAGCTGTTGGCATACATATAGGAAACCCTAATTGGGTTGTACTCGCTATAGTACCCCACTGCAGGCTAGACAATTATAACATTCTGACAATCTAATGCCAGAGCTAGGTACTAGCATACTTAAACATCTTAGAAAAGCCCACCGAGTAAGCTGGCCTTGACGAGGCCACAACCGTACGTTGATGAGTACCAGACTGAACAGCAGTTGATTCGGGGAGTAAAGGTGGGGCGCCTACAAATTCCAAGGTGGGGCGCCTATAATTTCCTCGGTGGGAAACTGTGTGCGCTCGATCCTGGCAGAGATTTGGACCTCCAGCTGTGCTTCACGGGCCGTTAGTGAGACCTCCATGGGGCAACGACATTGGCGGGAGTGTAAAATCTGTCGGTAAATTCTTTACGCGCGCGAAGTAGTGCGGTTTGAAATGTTTGAAATGTTTCACGTGTTGTTCACGGGCCACGCATCGAACGTGAGTGGCGGGAGAAATGAGCGCCCGTTTAACATGTACAATGCTTCCGTGATCGAAGGAATGAATCTCTTTGTAATCATTGGGCCCGACTGTTCCAAAACCTTCCTGGGCGGCGTTATGATTGGGCGCGAAATTCAGTCGGAATAGTCGCCACTGGCAGACACCGTCACCCAACTTAAAACTCGCAAAAAAACCACAAGATGAGTATTGATGGGGAAAACTGACCGCGGGAATCGGGCGCGGTCGCGCGGCATGGGCAGTGGGAAAGCCACTGCCCATTGGAATTGGAGACAAGAAAGCACCGCGGTTCGTCATTCCCTCGTCAAATTTTGCTCAAATATGTCGACCAACCTCGCACAGCACTGCCCCTTTTTTCATATTTCTCAATTCCATGGAGCACAACTTGCTCTACACCTGTAATCACGGTCTGGTCAGTCAGATGATTTGCTATTTAACAGTTTTGGATCCTTTTGATTTCTTGCTTTGGGTGAGAACAATCTGACGCTATCCAGATGCAATAACTGCGACCCCTTAGTACGAGTTGTCATTTTGCACAATTGCATTAATGATACACAGTGGCCGTACTGTCGTGACACGTAGATACTCAGGGCTAGAATGATTAAAAAATACAAAATTGCAGAGACAATTATAGTATACTTTAGGACCAACCGTAATGAGACAACTGGACTCTTGCATACTAGAAAACAATACAGTGTGGACCATAACTTTCATATAGTATATTATTGAGTTCAGTTTTTTTCGTTTCCCAATATTATTGGAAAAAACTAAATATCAATATCCTTATATAACCTTGTATCATTAAAAAACAAATAGACTAACAGTTATTGCGTATTCATGGTAAACCATGCCTGGCTAAAGAATGTGTCATCCAACAAATTCGATACAAACTTTGTCGAGAGTGTTTATGCCATTATCGCAAAAACGCATGTAGAAGTCAATGGGATTTAGAAATATCAGAAATTGGGTAGCGCGGTGTGAGGGTAGTCGACAGGATTGAGCAAAATTCGAAAGTCGTCGCGTCGCGTGATTATTTCCAACTTGAACCTGAAGTTGGCCCCAACGACCAGAAACCATCGCTCACGATCAAAACAATCGCCATGCAGTCATCGTGCGGGTGTACAGATCCAATTTCTTTCATGAGCGGCTGTTAAGAGAGCAATTGAGTGATCGAACGAGAATTGCACTATCGAAGCAAGAGTACAACGAGCGAAGAATATATAGCGAAACTACAGTGGTAACGATAACGGACTGTGACTGACGCGCGACGGGCCTGGGACTGAGGTTGGGGAAATGTCGAAGCGGAGGCCCGGAGCACGGGTTGCCCGCCGAGCCGTGAGGTCAGGGTGCGACGTGCAAAGGTGGCGGGAGGATTGTCGATGCGAGGGTTGCGAGTGGTAACGGTGCTGACTGTGGTGTAACGGTGGTGTACGCGCTGAGCGAAGACGCGAAGTAAGGAAAAGGAATTTTCCTTACACAACCCCCCCCACCCCCCCCTAAGGAGATCCTCCTTACAAAAGCGCATGTACATCTTTGAAATTTCAGCTGCGCAGATACTCTGTGAGTACGGGGTGGTTTTCGACTCTGTTCAGGGGAACTCAGTTGTCTTCGGTGGGTGTACGGTCTTTCCAGCGAATCAGGAAATCGATCCTTTGGGCTCCTCGTGGGTCACGAACTCTGTGGCTCAGAATTTTCTCGGGTGTGATGATTGGTTCGGTCGGCGGTCATGTCATGCT